AAAAAAAAAAAAAAAAAAAAAAAAAAAAAAAAAAGAAGAAAAAAAAGAAAAAAATCGGCCAGCCATAAAACAGACATCTTATCACAATTTATTTAAAGTGTGAATTGAATGAAACCAGTCCCGAGGAAGAAAAAGACATGAAATTTGTAAAACTTCTACATAAACTGTAAAATAGGCACCCTTCCTGCTCGGTAATATCACAACGAGACGTGCACTTATAGTCAATCATTCATTTCTTCTCCTCACTAATGTCATTGCAAATAAAACTCATGAGGTGGCTTTTTTTCTAGCTGTAGAAGAATGCTCAAGACCAAAAACATAATACATTAAATTAATTCATATCTCTCTACTCTAAGTGAACATATTCTGAGTTAAATACAAACAAAGAAAACTTTGAAAAAWTTTTTTTGTATTTATCCAGAATATGGTGGATTTCAGGGAATTAACGTGGTCAGCAATAGGATGCACAACTTGAAGAAAGAAAAGCTAAACTAATACATTCACTGCTTGTGATAAATGCTGTCATACTAACAAAAACAAATAATAATTTATCATTCATAAAACCATACATCCCACTCCTCACTGTAAGCTATGAAGATGGGGCAGCTAAAAAATGTAAAAGCATTATTCTTCATGAGACAGTGTACTTTATGGGACAGGAATGAAAAAAAMCCCACAAATTCTGTTTTTATTTGCAAGTAATTCTCATAGTATTTGCTCTATTTACAACACCTCTCTTTCTTAAAAGACTATAGTAGAATTTCCTAATCCTAAACCACATAATTGGTAAAGAACATATACATATAAACGTTTATCTGGAAAATATATAAGGGAAATAATCAACATAACCCAAGTTCATTTCTAAACGTTTTCTTGTTTGCATTTCTTTGCTTTCTCTCTACACTTTCACATTTCTTCACAATTTCTCACCACCATGTCAACATCAGCTACCTTCCAGTGTAACTGTAGATACCACACAACATTCACACCAATCTCCTACACTGAACAATCCATCTTTAATCTATAAAAAAAAAAATTCAAACAGAACCCATGAAAGTTTTTTTGGAGGACACTGTAGAAAACATTATAAAAGAAAGATATTTGAGATAGCAGTGACAAACTAGTTACAGTTAAAGTGAAGTTATATGAATCACAAAGCAGGAAAGTTAGAAGTCTTTAAAGGGGAAAGTAAAAAAAAAGGGCTTCAGACTTGCCAGAAGTCACTCTTTTCAGTTTTAGTTATATGGAGTAAGTCGTTAAGCTGCAAAGACATGTTTGCTTTTCTCAGTCAGCCTGCACAGCCACGACACTCCAATAATAATTCCTGGTTTATTTATCCGCATTTGCAAAATATCCAGTTTGTGGTCTTGGCCAATCTCGTTTATGTTTAAAGAAACTGGCAGTGCAAAGATAATAGAATTTAGATTTTAAGTTCTGCTTCACAGTTCTGTTTGAATACAGTCGATAGCTTTAAAACGAGCAGAAAAAAAAAAAATTAACAGATCAGATATGAGGACATTGTGATAAGTGTTCCCACAATGGCTGACAAGGTCACAAGTAGTTTTTACAGATAACAGTTTTTCTGAACATGCCTATTACTCCATATCGCTTGAATGAAAACAAAAGACAAACTCACAAGTGTGAACAAAGATTAGAAGGAACGTGTCAGGTTGGTGCCCGTCTCCTGCAGGCTGACCAGTAGGTCATCAATCTTTTCCATGTTCTGAGAGGCAGACATGCTGCTTGGCACTGTCCCTGACTGATTCATGGACTGGCTAAGAAGGTTCTGGATGCGTGCCTCACTCTCTCTTTGGTTCTGACCAGACTGGCTGATTGCTATTATCTGATCCGATACMGTGTTTCCACCGCTGCTCATCAACGTGCCGCATTCTGCAAAAGGGGAAACAGAAAAGGATAAAGTAAGCTGACACATGGTTTTAAGTACAGTACGTTGGCATGTAATGACACTAAAGTTAAGTTCAAATGAACAAAAACTACAGTACATGCTCTCCTATAAACTGCTCTTGGACACAGGAAAAATAACAACAATATTAAAGACAGTCCRGATTTAGAAGTTCACTATATTATATTAAAAAAAGACAAATTCCACAATAAGCCGTCACTGTTCAGGTCACCACATCCAAGTTTGAATTTCTCACTTTTGTGTTATATTTTGCTCTCGACAAACTTATGAGAAATACTTGGTGTTTTAGCTGGTAAACATTTGTTTTTAAAAACTTGCAGCTGCCTGCTAAATCTGAAAACAAAGCTTAACAAAAGAGGTGTGCGCCTGGGTAAGAAAAGCCTCACCATTCTGAATCCCGAAGAGGAAGATCCCAGGCTGCTGAGGCTGGYTGGGCTGACTGATGTTCCCACTCATGTTGTGTTGAAACAAACTCCCCGGCTGCTGGACGGGGGAGGAGGTRGTCGTCTGAAGGTTGGCCACGCCGTTCTGGGTGGCAAACATGGTGGTCTGTGTGAGTTCCTGAGGGGCCAGTTCTCCCTGAAGAGAGGTCACATTGGGCTGGGGCATAAAGAGACCCACGGGCTGCTCTTGCTGGTTGTTGGTGCTCGCGCCCAACTGCATTGGCTGCTGCTCCTGAAACAGGACTTGCTGCTGTGGGTCGGAGGGATTTCCTAAGGCCATGGGCTCGGGACGATTCTGCTGCTCTACTGTGACCATGTTGGCTTGGGAAAGGAGCAGAGAAGGGTTTTGGGGCTCTTGTGGAACTAGACTGTTGCTCGTTAGAGGAGGCATTTGGCCTTGACTGGTAAACAGGAGATTGGTGCCCTGGGGTGGTGTGGGTAGACCATTGCTGCAAAACATCAGACCAGGCTGCTGCTGCTGAACTGGAGAAAGTGTGTTTGGAGATGAATGAGGAGATATAGTCTGGAACAGGGATGCTTGTTGGGTTTGTGTATGTGGTGGAGACTGGAGGGACTGTTGCTGCTCCATTGGGTTTCTTTGTTGAATGGGAGATATTTGGGCCCCCAGCTGCAGATTGTTAATATTTGTAGAACCACATTCAGTCTGAAATACGGATTGTGGTTCAGAGGAAGAGGACTGTAGAGCACTAAGGAAGGCCAGTTGTTGCTGTTGTTGTTGTTGCTGTTGTTGTTGTTGTTGTTGTTGTTGCTGCTGCTGCTGTTGAGGATTACTGGCTGAAAGCTGAGTTGGCAGAGAAGTTGGGGGCAGGAAAAGTCCAGGAGTTGAGGCTTGTTGCTCTGGTGACTGTAGCACTGTCATGGTGTTTTGGAAAATAGCAGCCTGTACCTGCTCCTGGGAAGCTTTCTGAAACAGAACCCCCTGTGGATCTCGTGTCTCTGTCAAAGGGTTGGAGTTGTGGAACATGGTCGGTGAAGAATGAGTGGGGGTCGGCTGCAAGAAGCTGGTCTGCAAAGAGCAAAGGTCGTTTGCCTGCTGAAACAGCGTAGCTTGTTGCTGCTGCTGACTTTGTGAGGAGTGTTGCTCCTGCGGGAAAAGTGAACCCTGGTTTGTCACCACTCCCTGAGAGGAACTTTGATGTTCTGAGTTCTTGACCTGGGCAGTATCTTGAAACATGCCACACTGCATCTGCATCTGAGACTGGAAAAGCTGCAAATTCTCCAAAACCTGCTGCTGTTGTTGCTGCTGAATTTGCTGATTTTGGATTTGTTGCTGGTGCTGGATGTGTTGCTGCTGCTGTTTGCTTATAGAGTTATCAGGCTGAAGTAAGTTGCACATTCCTTTAGCTTTAAGTTGTCTCACTGCCTCCTCCAGCTGAGCCACTTCATCTGGAGGGAACATGGACATCTGCTGCTCTTGGGATGCAGGCTCCCCACATAGCCTCCCCATGTTAGCAGGATTACTGCAAGACCTCTCCCTTCTGAGACCATCTCTGTGTTCCAAGAGGAACTGCTGTGAGTTCTGCGAGAGCAGAGACTCTGCAGGCAAAGGGAAGGAGCCGCCAGCAGCAATGTCCTGCTTCTGGATGGTGCTTAAAGGGTCAGCATTGGAAAAACCGGCAACCTGTGCTTTATCAGCATCACTTGCAGGCTGGGGAAGTGTATTGTTGAACACTAGGTCTTTGTTTAGATGTGCTGGTGTTACATCTGAGTTTTGCTGGGTTGAACACAAGCCACCATTCTGCTGGAGAGACAACAAACAGAAGAAACATTGTTTATCAATGATTTAAAGTTTAGTCCACCATAATAAAAAAAAAAACTTATCTTCAGGATAATACAGTATGAAGCAAACAGATTTTTTCAAATATATCTGTAATTTCTTAATTCAGGGAATTAAATTGAAATACATTTTAAGCTATTATCAATATTACCAAGGCACTAAAGCTTAAAGATCAATAATTTACCTTAAATACTCCAGAGGACTGCAGGTTGCTTGTTACTTCCATCGGAGTGATATCTTCTCTCTTCACTAAAGGCAACATTGAAGGCATCAAGGTAACATCTATAAAGGTTGGAAAAAAAACAAAAGGTCAATTGAGTCTTTATGCAGAGCRTCTCATGTTATCAGTGTACAGTTTAAGAAATAAAAAAGCTTTTCAAGTTGAAAACAAAAAAATAATTTTATCAACTTCTGAACATCATCAAAAGTTCTTAAAATGAAAAATAACCTTTTATTGGCTCATCAAAAGAACAAGTCTTCACTGGAGAGGGCATCTCTTGCTTCACAGGAATTTCATTTTTTACTGAAAAATAAAAAACAGATGTAAACTACTTCAAGAAAGTAACTAAATGTGTCAACAAAGGTTGTTCACATTATGTTTATGTATTTTAGTTTTACTAAAATGATCAGAACATACCTAAARTCAACAGAACACATATAAATATTATTTAGTATGAATATTATTCTGTGCAAAAATGTGCTCACATTTTCTGTGATTATTTAAAACTGTAGGTGGTACTACTGTCTATTGGTGATGATCAATTTAAGAAGTCCTTTCCTTTTCTTTACTGAGTATGTAAGCTTTAGTGGGAGTTAGTAAAGGTCCGTTCATTTGAAAGAAACAAGCAATCTGAAGACTCAAACCTGCATCTGGAGTGTAGGTAAATGTCTGAATGTCATGGGATCTCCCAGCATTTGTCACCACGTAGATTACTACGCTCACTGGAGAGGAGACAGCTTGGTTCTGATATGGGGGTACTTTCACTATTAAGTGATTCTAGAGAGGATCATACAGAAATGAATAACAGTCATTAAAACACACACAAATAGCATACAACTGAACAAATACATAATTTATTAATAAAGATAAGAAAGCTGCATGTCAGAACAGTGAGTTGACAAAAACTGAAAAAAAAAAAAAACTATCTAAATGCTGAGTGGGAATTTAGAAAATAATTGAAGCAACATATTCACCTTTCACTTAATTCTGATCTTTTTGTCACAAGGGCAAAGGTTTAATCCTGTCTATAACAACTCACTCAGTAAACCTTCGTAGACTTAATGTAATTAGGTCAGAACACAATGAAACTACACAAACCTTTGAACTAAGAACCGTTTAAGATGATTATATCAGAAACCCCCCACAACACAGAGTTAGCTCTGTCAATTGGATTATTTAAATTTAGTTAGTAATTACCATTAATCATTTCAAAGTAAGACAACCAATAAAAATGACATTTCACCTGATGAAACAGCTCCATGTCAATTTCAGCCTCTGCTTTCCATGAGTTCTCATCTGGAACAACAAAAAAATAATAGTTCATTTAAAAAAAATGATCATTTCATATCTGAACACGTCTGAAAGGTCAATTTCTCACCAGAAGCATTTTCTTGAAATATAACTTTGGTGTCTTTCAAAAAGTTTTTGCCAATGATGAACACTTCTTCTCCACCCCCCACTGAAGAGCTGTGAAGTGACTTCTTCAGTATCTCAGGCAGTCCTGCAGGCTGAGCTGTAAACACAAAGGAGCACACCACTGATGAGAGTTTCCTGGATTGTATGCTGGTTCTATGTAAACGTCTATATAAACGTCTATATACCTCTATTATTTTATCCTGTCCCTCTTTTACTCCCCTGCTACTCTCAAAGCAGTTGTCCTAAAGTCATGTGGACATATTTTACATCTTTAAGCATTTTTCCGGTTTGTGGAACTGACCACACCCTCATATTGCAGGAATTATTTAAAGGACAGAATGATGACTGTTAGGTCTCTAAAAACAGACATCAAACGATAAAGGTTTACTGATCTCTGGCTGTATTGAAATTGAGAAACAGGATTTAAAAAGGTATAGTGGTAATTATTAACCAAGTAGGTTTTAGGTCAACTGTGTGTTTTCCCTCAGCTAGTGACCTTTTGAACAGCTAGTTTGGCCGAATGAGTGTAACATTTGTTACGTAGTGTAGGATGATTTTCTCTAATCTACAGATTTATTATAATTTCTCTACTTTTATAAAAAGGTAATATTTTTGCAGTGACAAATGCTAAGACTGACTTACTACACAAGATTGGTGACGAGGGTGTCTGTAGCGTAAGCATTGATCCATCTGGACGAGGAATGTTGACTCGAAACACCAGTCGAGCACGTGTGCTCTTCTTCTTTGACCCTGCCACACCAATACGAGCCTCAACGTCAGCATTACGGAGTTTCAAGATCCCAACACAGTCAACCCTGAAGGGGAAGAAAACAGTAACTTGGACATGCTTGGACTTGTTTCCACTTCCAGTTTTATTAATTTTTAAAGGATCCCCAATTAGTTGTAACATTAGAYTTTATTTGATAAACATATATTTTAACTGTAAAATAAAGATTGTAAAAATACTGTAGGCTGTTTAGTTTTGTAAATTTTTAAAAATATATTTCAACACGGACAGAGCCATTTTATTTACACACAAAGCATTCTGGGTAAATGATGACGTGGATAGGTCCTTGGTGCAAGGCTGCTAGCGAGCTATATCCACCCTGAAGGTTAAATCTTGGACAATATCTGATGATCGACTCTTTTAAATGAAACCAGAGAGCGTTGACAGAGAGGAGAAGGTAGAAATGACTCAGCCTGGAACTGAAAATATGGATGGAGGACAACAGAGCTGCTTCATGGAAGAAGAACCTCAGCTTAGCCTGTTAGCCTTTGCGCTAGCGCCAACGCTATATTACCTTATATGTATTAGCTCAACGCTAGCGCGACAAACAAGCTAATCTGAGGTCCTCCATCCATATTTTCAGTTGCAGACTGAGTCATTTTTGCGTTCCCCTCTCTGTCATATGGATGGAGGACCTCAGTGACGAGAGGAGAATGTTTAGTGCTGAGCTAATAAATATATATGGTGATAGCGTCGGGGCTAACGCTAAATCTAACAGGCTAAGCTGAGGTTCTTCTTCCATGAAGCAGCTCTGTTGTCCTCCATCTATATTTTCAGTTACAGGCTGAGTCATTTCTACCTTCTCCTCTCTGTCAACGCTCTCTGGTTTCATTTAAAAGAGTCGATCGTCAGATATTGTCCAAGATTAACCTTCAGGGTGGATATAGCTCGCTAGCAGCCTTGCACCAAGGACCTATCCATGTCATCATTTACCCAGAATGCTTTGTGTGTAAATAAAATGGCCCAGTCCGTGTAATATATTTTTAAACTTTTAGTTTAAAAATTATAAACACTAAACAGCCTACAGTATTTTTTACAGTCTTTATTTTACAGTTAAAATATATGTTTATCAAATAAAGTCTAATGTTACAACTAATCGGGGATCCCTTTAAGGTATGTACTAAACTAAACTCTGCTAGATTTAATACTTCAGCATGTTCCTAAAGTTGGCTATTATCCCCCTAAAAAAAAAACAGAGAAAGTGCTTACACATCTGTCAATAACTAAACTCTACTTTAAGACAACTGTCTTGACATATTATGATGTACAAGTGAACACATCAAAGCCATATTTTGTTTTAAAAATTGACATTTGTGCTTTATCACAAAAAATAAGAAGCCATTACTGTCGCAATATAAAGCATTAAAACAACAAAATGCACATACGCTAGAGTCATTTTGGTGCTTGGATCAAGGGTCACCTCAATGACAGTTGTGCCATTGATATCAACCTCTTTGCATGCTGTTGTGTTTCGACCAGTTACTCTGCAGGCTTGGTAAAATCCATGAGGCTTCACACGACCAGCATCGTTGCCGACAAACACCTGCAAAACCACTGGCTCATTCACACCCTCCAGCTGTGAAAAGAAAAAAAAAGAGATAATGGATTAGATATAGAGACAAAAAGTTGTTTTTTTCTGGTGTAGTACACTACCTGGCCAAAAATAAGTTGCCACCAAAAAAAAGGTAACACTAATATTTCGTTGGACCACCTATGGTATGCATCGGCTGTGGCATTGTTTGGATAAGCTTCTGCAATGTCATAAGATTTATTTCTTTCCAGTGTTGAATTAATTTTTCACCAAGATCTTGCATTGATGACGGTAGAGTCTGACCAATGTGCAAAGCCTTCTCCATCACATCCCAAAGATTCTCAATGGACTCTGTGGAGCCAATCCATGTGTGAAAATGATGTCTCATGCTCCCTGAACCACTCTTTCACTATTCCAGCCCCATGAATCCTGGTATTGTCATCATGGAATATGGCCGTGCCATCAGAGAAGAAACAATCCACTGATGGAATAACCTAGTCATTCAGTAAATTCATTTGTTTTGGCCAGGCAGTGTGCATTCAGTTCAATTCAAAAATACTTCCCAAAGGGAAATTACAGTATTACATTATTACATTACATGTAGTATTGCACAATTAGCTCACAAAAAGTTACAAGTAACTAGTTTATGAACTTTAAAAGGAAAAAGGAAAAAGATCAATACAAATTTTCTGTCCTTTTTTTGTCTCAAAACACCCCATCATGTCTGTCCTACATGCACACATCAACACGAAGCAAAGTTGCTGAATGGCTGGACTCCCAGAATAAACAGGAAGAAGAAACTGTCTATTCAGTTTAACAAACTCTACTGCCACCATATTCATTTATCCGATCTAATGATTTTTTTTTTCTGGTTATTCATCAAAAACAAAAAAACATGTTTGCAGATTGGGTTCACGTCACCTCATCTACCAAAAATACCAACAATAAAACAAACATAAAATACCAAAATAAAAAAGGAATCGATTGTGCAGAAAATCTATCAAAAAATACATCGGTTTAGAGTATTCTCCTCACCAAGTATTCACATCTCTAATGAGACAATTACTGTGATCTTCAGTCTTACAGGACAGTGCTGACCTTTTATCCCACTGTTTCTATGGCWCCAAACGCAACAAATCTTAAACTCATAAACACATATTTGAAACTCCCTGGTTACCTTTACAGTAGGAAAGCTCTGCTGGGTGCGATCCTTTACTGACCCCCTGCTCCCTTCAGTTAAGTAGCGAGCTCGGTGCTGAGTCTCAGGCTGGACAAGGATCTTGAGCTCCTTCCCCTCACACTTCGATGGGAACTGCATCGAAAGAATTCCTCCTTTCTGATTAGTTGTCTGAGGATCATCAGAGCTGCAACAAACACATAGTTGACAAAACAAATAGCTTTTTAAATATCAATTTCTACTAATGAAGCTTTTTRTTTTTGACACAGTTCACACAGAAAATCCCAGGAGTTTCAAAAACAAGGCAACTGGATTTTAATTCTTTAGTCAAAGACATTTCACTTCTCATTCTTATCAGGCTATAAAACATATATAAACATGAATATACTTACACTGTATAAACTTACACTGTATAACTTACATGAGGGGCTTCACTCTTAACAACGCTGAAAACATTTCTGTAGTTGCCATGGTGCTCTGAGCATTGCAGATTTAAGAGGCCTTGCATCAACCAAGCATATTCTAACCCTGGCTCTTAAAACRTCCACTTATCTGTTTATTTAATCTGCTCTGCTTATCCTAGGTCTTTGAGAGAGAGACTGTGATTCACTGYGGCTGACCATTGTTTGTGCTTCAGTATCCTGCCCCTCCCTTCTCTCTGATCTAACTGCTCGCCTTTGTGGAAATATGGTGAGTGTCAGTGTTTCATTTCCAAATAATACCTGCTGTCACAATTAAATAAGTGCTAAATGAGATTGTTTAGAAGAACTTTCACTATAAATAGAAGATAGAAGAAAGACCTAAAGCAGGGCTATTCAACTGGTGGCCTGCGGGCCACATCCGGCCCGCGAGTGACCAAAATGCGGCCCGCCAATTGGTTCATACTTCTCTTAAGCMCAGACCACCAGTTTTCTACTTTGATTACTATGAGTTCTTTTTGTTAAACATAGACATGTTTGGTATCTACTGAAACTGCAGAATCTTGGCTACAAGATGGTAAAAACTGTTTCTAAGCATACTCAAGACAGTTAAAACTATAAGCAGTTGAATATAAAACTATGAAATTAAAAATAAAATTGGTTTAAAAGTAGGCAAGTCACAGATGTCAAAATATTTGTGTTGAATAGGAGGTGATGCGTTATTTTTGTTTTTGATTTTGTTTTTTTATCACTAAATTTATTACATAGGGTTCTGCATGTTATATTAATAAATAAATGCAGCAAAATAAACTATTTCAAAGGTAACAGATCTTTGATTTATTTACGTAATAACTTTAACTGCTGGATGTTTGGCCCCTCAGCTGTTGGCCTGCATTAACCGTGGCCYCCGGAGCAATTTAGTTGAATAGCCCTGACCTAAAGCTACCTATCAACCACAAGATATTGGAGGAATGTAAAATGTCTGTATTATTGAAGSTTCAATGCCTCAAATTAGATAGTTACTAGTAAAATGAAGAACATCAATTATTTCTTTAAAGCTACAAATATAATTTCTTGTCACATTCTCATAAAACGCAAGGCACAGATATTTTTTAGTTGCATGTATCAGTCAAAGTGTTCTGCACTACAAACCTTCCTTTTGTTCCAGTCTTGTTGTCCGGGCCGAGCTGCGACAGGACAAAGTGTGGACCTTTGGCGCTGTCTGCATCAAACACGTCCATGCTGGCCTCCGATGCACGCACAGACTTAGGACCTGGCCTCTGGCGAGGGGTACGTTTGCGGGACTTTCGCGGCACCTCTGTGTTGTCATTGTAAGAGGTATTGCTCATAATGCTGAAGTTGGACAGTGAGTCATCTATCCAGATGCTGTTRCTTTGCTCTGACTCCAGGGTTGGTGCATCCTGGCACGACATGTGACTGTCGTCAAACAGGTCTTGTGGAGGTGGAGAAATGTTAAGCGCTGTACGGCGCTTGGATGGGGTCATCTGATGATGTGGTTGGCTGTCCTGGGATGTAGGACCTCTTCCTCCTCCCAGCTCACTGCCGGCCCTGTTGTTCCCACCATTGCTGCTGTTCGGGCTCCCGTCATCTGCTGCAACCATCTCCGGTACCACTCTGCTGCTTCTGGTGTCCTCCAGATCACAATTTCTGATGCGAGCAGGGCTCTGATCATTGTGTGTAGCATTGGAATGCATGGAAGAAGTAGAAAAAGCACTGCGAGGCCCTTCCATGGTCAGAGAAGTGTACGTGGCATCTGAAGTGCAAAAATTAAGAAAGTCAATGCAGGCACCTCAACCAGTGTAGGGTAGCAGCCCAGGTAAGTAATAAAAATGTTCACAGTTGTTCCTATTTGTTGTTGTTTTGCCTTTGTTTTTTGTATATATACTGTACATACACCTCTCTCCATGCTCACAAGACTGTCAATGATGCCGAACATACAGTTAATGAGAGTTTGCGTTTCTGCGAGTGAAATGCAGCCATGAAAAAAGCAATACATATTTCTGTATGTGAATTAATATACAAAGAAAATGTAAAATTATTTTCATTCTTTCTAGCATTTTGTTTTTGCTCAAAATTATATGTAAGATGTCAGATATTGAAGCTTTAATTCAATTTCAGCTTTAAAGTCATTCGGGGGATTTGGAGAAGCCACAGAAACAAAACAAAACAAGCCTCTGACCTATGAAGCAGATAACTGCAGACCATTTTATATGCAGACACTCCCTGCTTCAAGAGGAAACTTCCTGAAATATAAAAGGCGAGACAGCAAAAAAAGAAAAAAATATTATTCAGATAAAGAGAATGCTATTAAAATATGGCGTGACACCTCCTCCCAAGTTGCTCCAGCATGCTGTAACTACAAGCAGTTACAGTGAACTCGAAGGGGAACTCTAAGGTAAGGTGGGATTAGGCTGCAAATCACAAAAAATGTTAGCTGCAGTTGAAATGCTGGTTTGTTTGGTGTCAGTAGTTTCACAACCCACATTTGGAAAAAACAACAACAAACAGAGAATACAGACAAGAGGTGTGTCACTTTGAGCAAATAAGCAACACAAACACATTTAAAAGCCAAAAGTAAATGATTATTAAAATATAAAATTATACGTACAATAACTGTGTTTAAGACAATTAGATGTTTGTTTTTGTAAACAAAAAGCTAAAATTTCTGCGTGCAGAATTATTTTCATGTTTGGTTCCTTGGTACTTACGCTTTGGTTGCATTATCAAATTATTTTAAAATATTTACCATTTGGACAGAAAGTAGTGACTTCTCAGAGCAAATATAGATACACCACTATACTTCAAATAAACAAATAACCCCTAAAAATAGTCCTACGTTAGTCGTTGACACTTCTTTAATATGTATGAGTTTTAAATATATGTATGCTTCAAACCTGTAAGCCCTTTCTCATGTATTCACAATACACTCATCATGTTCTGTTCTTTCTCCGTGTTTAGTGTCATCATAAACTCAGGCGGAACAACTGTGAAGTGAAACATTTTAARATTAATGATAAATGATCTGTTTATCTACTGTGTCATCATCAACACACCCATCAATTTGTGACTCACATGGAACATACCGGCACAAAGGCTCTGCCGCTTTATAGCCTACCACCAAAAATGCAAATGGAATATAATTCCAAATAAAATATTTTTTTGTGCAGACCAATAAGCTAATCTGTCACAGTCTTGTTCTGGACTTCTATATATATCCACTAATATGAGGAGTTTTTTTTTTTTTTATTGGCTATGAATAGCAGCTCCACATTGGCTGAAAGCCAAATAATCATCAAAAAAGTGTCTGCTGTATCAGGGTTCATTGGGTTTTATTACATACGCAGAAAAGCAAAATTTAAAAAAGTCTTTGTCTTTTATTATCATACAATTTACTCAAACCTTATTTATGTTACCAAATAAATATAAAGGGTCAACAAAAATACTTTGTCAATAGAGCTTTATATTGTGTGAACATGTTGCACTATGGAGTTATTTGGGTGGGAAGAAACAACAGAGTAACATGAAATCACAATAAGCAGGAACAGACAGCAGGGCATGTTAAGCTGAACTTAACATCCTTCATGAGCTTTTTGTTATTTTTTATTTTTGTCTTGTGTAAAAAAATCAAAGAGAAGCAGGCTGCATGTACAACAGGCTTTCCTGCTGCATGCAGGTGTTTGTGTTCACCTACAGGTACAAACTGTTACACGAGTAGTGGTTTTTGGGGTGGGGCAATATCAATCCTGCTTGCAGAGAAGAAACAAGGATAGAGGATGCAGGATCCTACCTGATGCTAGAGGAGCTGAAGGGAGAGGCCCAGCCTCTCCGTCGCTCTTTTGACTCATGACTTCTGGGTTCTGATGGGTGAAGGAAGACAACTGTAGCTCTCTGGGAAGAAGCTCATACACTGACTCTGTTGTGAGAGTAGGGGGACCAATAAAAGGAATAATAAGGTGATTGATTAACAGGAATTCAATCGCTTTTTTTTTCTGTTGGGAATAATGACTCCAACGTGTCAGCTTGATGACTAACAAAAAAATCAAGAAACTTAAAAATAACAGAACACAGATTTTTATTTTATTTTATCATCATCAACACTCAAACAACAAAGTGCAAAAAATAAGTACATAAAATAATAATGTTCACACAGTTGTAAAAAATTTACTCAAATCAAAAAAATATACATGTCTGTCAGGGAATCTGATTTAAAAAGCTAAAAACAAATAAATAGCCATGTTTTAAAACTATATCAGAACAATGCTCTATCACCAGTTCAGTTGTCAAACAGGTTTCCACTTCTGTATTACTGCCAATGTCTGACACAGGCTGTTCGTATGCACAGTCATGTTACACCTTTGCCTGCCCTCTACACAGCATTAACTAAAGAAACAAAGCAGGTACTATAATAAAGTGCCATTGTCTATGATGACGGTTTAGATCAGAAATTAAAACAATCAAATTAATTTAAATAAATTGTGTAAGGAACAGAAATTACATTTTTTTGCTGCTATGATCCTAAAAAAAAAATTTAAACGAAGACTTTCCTATGAATCGCTTTAACAAAATAATTTTCACCTGACAGCAAAAAAGGCATGGAAAAACAAGTCTTTTTTTATATCACTCATTCTTCATGCATGTCAAAGCATGACATCTGCATGGTGAACACTGCAGTCATTTTTCTTGCATAGCAAAGCATGACATTTATGTTACCTATTGGTGGTGAAGTACACCACCAACAGATGTCAGAGATGTGGGTGTGTTTTCAGCTGTGGACTGTCCCTGCCTTAAGGTGAGAATCACGTTCAGTCTGAACCCAGCATAGGGCTACAACTGCCTGGGCAGCTCCCTGTTTTGTTACTCTAGAGACATACTGAGGTTTATGTATTTATTCATTTATTTTAGTTTGATTCCTGTAGACATTAACTGGTATTACTTTAAGAAGAATTCATACAGCCTCTGTGGCTACAAAATATGCATTTTTAATGCAATATAAGGTAAATAAAAGCTTGACTATTGCTACAACTAAATACATTTGAATATTTACAGCATCTGTTTTTTCTTTTTCTTTCCCCCTTAGATTTATATGACCATAAATGGTATATGTTTTGACATTGAACTATTGATCAGACAAAGCAACAGTTTTAATGAGTACTTTCAATACAGGGTAAAYGTCACTTTACACAACAGAGGAACTGGTAAATCTATCAGGGATCAAAATCCCTGACAGGTTTGACATTCTTCTTTATGTTAGCAAATGCTGAATCTGACTAACAAAATCTTATGTAAAGTTTAAAGATATCAGAAAACCCATTTAAATTATATTTAACTCACCATCCATCACCAGGGAACATAGTTTTACAACACTGGTATTTCTCTAACAAAATACTAACTTATGGCTCTGAATTCACAAAAGACAATAAAACAAATAAAGTTGAGAAAAATCAAAAGCTGTGACATATATAAGGCAGATCTTTTTAAACAACAGAATAAAACAGAGCTGTCTCTCTTCTCTCTGCCTGCCATAGGAGACGGGGATGAGGGGAAGCCTTAGGTCAACAGCATGACAACACTTTTACTAACAGTGATTCATCATCCAAATATTATGGTATGAACTAAAAGCGACCATTACAGTCGCCTGACTCTTCCCTCTGCCAACTGCCAGTTTTAATTACTTGCAGCTGAATCCCAGGGTTTGGTGTGTATATCTGATACTTAACCCTCCCATTGTTACCACTCACTGTGCACAATGGACAAACCTGGGACCGACTGAAACCAACCCATGCCTCTTCATTTCTAAAGCCCTCCAGTCTCTTACGGTTTGCTTTTAKAAGCGCAGGAAACCCTAGTTCGCATAAACAGATCTTAAAACTGGACTCGGTAAACTCATAACTCACTCTGAGCCAAACGTACACAGAGGATTCTAGTGTGGCTGTGCTGGTTATTTGCTATGTTCAGTAAACAAAAAAGTCACACAGATGCATGCATATGCACAAAAACATTCCCCATCATGTCCACAAAAACCCTCTGTCTACCTTTGCAGTTGCACTTTAAATCTACAGTTTTTTGGGGGTTTACTGAGTGACTGCACATGCAGCAACATGTGCTTTGCGTGAAAAACCCTTCCAGTAAACAAACTGCCAACCGCACAGTCAGAAAATATGCACTCACTTTTCAGAGCACTGGTCTCAACTCACTGCCTGGCCTGTTCAAAGTGTTTCCATAGCTCCTGGGACGTTTTTGGGACCAGAAAATAAAAATCTTATTTTGCTGCAAGTTTATTTCCTCTTAAACAGACAGTCTGCCATTCTTAATTTACATGTGACAACACAGACTCTTTCACYTGGAAGCAAGTAAAAAAAATAAATTATGAAAATAACTCTACTTTCCTATTTAACTTAAAAATGAATCATATTGACTCACACACCCCTTTCAGTTTTGAGCCTACTCTAAAACCAGTCATATTGTGCAGACCACTGACCACGGAAAAACCTTCAATTTTCTCTTTGGTATGCTTGTTTGTCTTTGTGTCTATGGTGTATAATGATGTGATTGTGATGCTGTATTTCTGAGTGTTTTATGTGCTGCAGAACAGGAACCTGCTGTAAAACAGCAATTATGCTGAGTCAGGCTTGATTNATGCTGAGTCAGGCTTGATTTTTAGTAATCTTTTCCTGTTAAATCAATAAATCAAATCAAATCAAATCTCTTCATCCTCCATGAACAAAATATTAAATTTGACCAAAAATTGTTAAAACAATGCCACGTGGTTGTTAGTTTGAATCAAGTCTGCTGCTGTCATTAACACAGTTTAATAACTATAACCTGAACATTAAAAATCCAAATCACATGGCAGAGAGGGTGACTACTTTTGTTTTTGTACTCATGYAATGCCTTGTGATCAGTTTTTACAAAATGCAGTACAGGCTAAAAGGTGAAAAAAAGGCACTTACCATGTGAATGGCAGGACTTGCACTCCCATTCATTTCCCTCACATTCCAGCTGCTTGCTCTTACTAGCCCTGGCATCTGGGGCGTGGCACTGGTTTTTGGCTGAGTGAGTGATTTAAATCCTTTCCGTGCCCCCTCCTCCCTTCAACCAACCTCTCTCTCTGTCCTGTTTATTGTTATACAGACCCTTTTCTGCACTGCACCTTGCTCAACAGGTTAGYGGTATTGTCATGTGGAATCCTGTCAAACCGAACCAAGAGTGTAGTGTAACATGGTTGGTGAAAAACTGTGGCTAAACTGTTTCACAGGGTGGACTGCCTAAACTTGGAAGAATGCTGCTTAAGAGGACGTGATTAGGAGAAGCTTAGGTTTCTTGTCAGTGCATTTGGAGATTATTCCCAGCAGTGAGGGGGGGGGTGTGTGTGTGGGGGAGGGGGGGAGCAGAGAAGGGCTGGCACCTGCAGCAAACCATGTACAACAACCCTGAAATGTTTACAGCCAAGCCTACACAAGAGCTGCAAGGGACTCCATAGTAACACAGATCAGGGGCCACGTCTTTAGAGCGTTTGAGTCTCTTGTGAGTTTGATGAAAATGAAAAGATAAAACTGTATAATCTATAATGAATTGGGCATAGAGAGAGTGGTATTCACTGTACCTGTATTATATTAAGCCAATTGTTGTAAAATATCATAATGTGCCATTTTTGTCCTCACCTGTTCCCAAGTTCAAAATCTGTTTTACAATAATTTGTTGGCCCTTGAGAGAAAAGTTGTGTTTCATGTAGGATAGTTAAATTATTATTCATTCTGTTCCGTGTAACTTTTGTTTACAAAATCTAAAAAGGAAAACAAGTTTATTCTACCGTTACTTCAGTGTTTAATACCAACTATTGGCCATGGAATGTACTGATAATAACTTAGAGTGATGAACGGATAATAAATTTTGATAACCCATTCATCCATTTCCTGCTGATTATCCATGGTCAGATTGAGGAGGGAACAGGTTCAGGAAGGAAACCTAGACATTCCTCTCCACACCAACACATCTTAGACCAGAAGACACAATCCCTACAAGTTTTTGGGTCTAACCCCATGTATCATTCCAGGGGGGTGTGCCTGGAAAAACCCCATTAGGAGCCCAGAAGTTATCCTTATCAGATGTCCAAACCACCTCAGTTGATCCTTTTGATGCAGTGAGGCAGCGGCCCTACTCCGAGCTCCCTCTAGATGTCGGAGCTTTGTTGAGTCTACAGAAATGCCACCTTAACTTCATGGAGGTGTATGAGTACTCCCGGGAACCTTGGGGCAATGCTGTCTGGACTGTTTGACCCTGACAGGGTCTCCCATGGCATTCTGGCCCCAGGGGTGGGGTTAGATTAAGAGCAATTCAAAGACCTTGATAAACAAAGACCCCATCTATTAGGGATGCCTCACCTGGATCACAAAAACTTGTGAACCCTTCTGGTGGGGGTGAGCTTGCAAACAAGTGCCTGACAGGAAGCCACCTCCCTACTGGCCTGAGGAGAAAAGAGTCAAGGTCGAGCGCTATGCAAGTCAGACGGCTGGTGAGGGTGAGGCCTAAGATGTGCCGATTTCAGATAACAAAAACTGTCTTGTTATGACAGCCCTTTTGGCTTTTCTTGCAAAAGAAAGTAAGTGGGTCAGTGCATATTTTCCAAAATTAACAGCAGCCATTCTCTCAATGAATGCAAGTAATAAAAAGTGTAGATTCACAACTAATTTATAAAAGTAGACAGATAACATTTGACCAATATGTATCCACATACACATTTACGTATTTAACGATGCTCAATGACATTTTTAACACAATCTGTTATGTTGCTCATGTTMGCTCAAAAGTTCAACTGTTAGTTCAGGCAAATGTCTGTAAAATACAGACAAAAATTGTGGTCATCAGGCGTAATGCCCTATTGGAAGTTCTGGAAAGCTAAAATTTAAGAAATCC